GAAGAAGAGGAGAAGAAGAAGAGGAGGAGGAGGAGGAGGAGGAGGAGGAGGAGGAGAAGAAGAAGAAGAAGAGGAAAAGAAGAAGAAGAAAGAAGAAGAAGAGGAGGAGAAGAAGAAGAGGAGGAGGAGGAGGAGGAGGAGGAGAAGAAGAAGAAGAAGAAGAGGAAAAGAAGAAGAAGAAAGAAGAAGAAGAGGAAGAAGAAGGAAGAAGAAGAAGAAGAAGAAGAAGAGGAGGAGGAGGAGGAAGGAGAAAAGAAGAATAAGAAGAAGGAGAAAGAAGAAGGAGGAAGGAAGGAATAAGAGGGAAGAGGGAAGGGGGAAGAACTAGCTGGCCACAGTGGCTCATGCCTTAATCCCAACACTTTGTGAGACCAAGGCAAGTGGATCACTTGAGGCCAGAAGTTCAAGACCAGCCTGGCCAAGATGGTGAAACCCCGTCTCTACTAAAAATACAAAAATTAAGCAGGCCCAGTGGTGCACACCTGTAATCCTAGCTGCACCAGAGGCTGAGACAGGAGAGAGAATCACTTGAATCTGGGAGATGGAGGTTACCATAAACTAAGATAGCACCACTACACACTCCAGCCTGGGTGACAGAACAAGACTCTGTCTCAAAAAAAAAAAAAAAAAAAAAAAATAAGATGGAGGCAATATCTACTTTATAGGAATTTTATAAAAAAAAAAAAAAAAAAAAAAAAAAAGCAGCACCTCTGTGTGTGTGTGTGTTTAAGGGACATCAACTACTGCTATGTGTTTCAGCTGGGGGATAGATTGACCACATTGAGAGCAGTTCTTATCTTTTTTATTATTCAAGGGTGAAATAGAGTAAATTTCTAGGTGAATCATGTCTTATAAAATTAAAGAGTTTCTTATCCTTTTTTTAACTTGAATTTTACCATATCTTACAGATGGAAAGGTATATAAGAAAAAATTACTGGATAGTGTGAAGCCTCTCAAAGGTAAGAATATGAGAACAGCAGCTAAAATGTAATTGTGCTTTACATTTGCTTTTTTGAATTTCTCACTGATTGGAATCTCGCTGTTCCACTTGTTATATGAAAATTTTTGGTGCTGCAAAAGAAGTAGCACTCGAATATTAATTTCTCAGTAAGACAATTTACTTCTATAGAAGGGTGCGTCTCACAGATGGAGCAATGGCAAACACACACCTGAACAAGGGAGGGGAAGAGATTCTTATCCCTGACGCAGTCCCTGCTGCTGTGTTGTTCTCCTATTAGCTAGGGTTAGACTGCACAGTCTAAGCTAATTCCAATTAGCTATTTTAAAGAGAACAGAAGTATGAGCCAGAGTGGCAGGGTGAGTGGTTTGGCGGGAAAAATGGTTATGGCAGAGCAGGTAACTGGGGGTGACTCAGGTCAAAGCAGGTGACCGGATGAGTCAGGATGGAGCAGGTGACTGGAGCAGGTGATCAGGATGAGTCAGGACAGAGCAGGGGACAGGCAAACAGATGTGAACTATTGATTAGAGCTGGCAGGGAAGTTGTTTACCAAAACTAGAGGCAAGGGGGCACAGAGAACCAGGAAGTTAAACTTTAAAATAGAGAATTAAAGAATAAGAGAGCTGAACATACTGACATACTGATTCTTTGAAGAGAAACTTGGAGTTCACTATATCTAACACGCTATTTACTGATTCTGAATTTATGCCTCATAACCTACCATCCTTCTTTTAGTATAACTATATTTGAGCGAGTCACTGCTAGTAATATGTCACTGTAGCAAGTTTGAAATTCTGCTTTCAGCATGCACGATGGCTCACATCCCTAATCTAAGCACTTTAAGAAGCCAAGGAAAAAAGATCACTTGAACCCAGGAGTTCAAGACCAGCCTGGGCAACTTAGGGAGACCGTATCTCTTCACAAAATAAGAAAATTAGCTGTGCTGCTGGCATGCACTTGTGGCCCCAACTACTTGGGAGGCTGAGGCAGGAGGATCACTTGAGCCCAGGAGGTCAAGGCTGCAATGAGCCAGGATCATGCCACGGCACTCCAGCATGGTGACAGAGCAAAATCCTATCTTAAAAATAAAAAAGAAATTCTGCTTTCTTTTAGGTTTGTTATCTTTATCACAATTCATCAAATTTGTCTAATTCTTTTTCATCCATGATTACTTCAATTGAAAATTATAGTTCAGTGTTGAGGGAGCATTTTCTTTTCTCAACTCTGATACTTCCGAGTGGCCAATATATTATTTCACTCTCCACTTAAAATAAATACATAGTTAAAGCTGACATATTCTGGGCCAGGCACAGTGGCTCATGCCTGTAATCCCAGCACTTTGGGAGGCCAAGGCAGGTGGATCACCTGAGGTCAGGAGTTTGAGACTAGGCTGGCCAACATGGTGAAACCGCATCTCTACTAAAAATACAAGAATTAGCTGAGCATGGTGGTGTGCACCTGTAATCCCAGCTACTTGGGAAGCCAAGGCAAGAGAACCACTTGAACCCGGGAGGCGGAGGTTGCAGTGAGCCGAGATCATGCCATTGCACTCCAGCCTGGGCAACAAGAGTGAGACTCCATCTCAAAAATAATAATAATAACAATAAAGCTAGCATTTTCCACTTCTTGGAATTACTTGTATTTCTTATTCCATCCTCTTAATTCCTAAGGAAAAAAAGTCAATGTCAATAATCTGGAAGCTCTTCTGAAGAACATGGAAATTGAAGTTGGGAAAGAGGAATATGAGGACCTACTCGACCATCTGCCAGCTGACAGTAAGTGTTTCAGATCCCACTGTACCTGGGAGAAACATAGGAAATATTTCAAACATACCTAAAAACAGAGAACAAAATAACAAACACTGTGTGCCTACTGGTCAGAGTTAACAAATGTTACTATTTTGCCATACTTGCTTCATACATTCTCCTACGTCCTTTCCTCTTTCCCTCCCTCCCTTACTTCCCTTACTTACTTCCCAAGTAAACCTTTTTATAATAAGACAAAATTTCATTAATAACTCAATAAGACCATTTTAACTAGACAAAACTGTCAGAGGCAAAGCTAGAATAATTCTTTAGGAAGAAATTGCTAAGGAATGAGCCTCTGACTAAGATTTCCTTATTAGATGTCTCTTCCCCTTGAAAAACAAGCTTCCATCAGAGAGCCAGACAGCACATCTTTCAGTAGAGCCAGCACATGCCAACCCAAAATAAATAGTTTTTCTCCCCTAATCCAGGGTTTCTGTTCTCAACTAGTGATGGTCAGGTGAACTAAAGTAGGCCACTGCTATCAGCAAACGTCTTCCATGCTACCTTCACCTGTAGCTGGCCCTAACGTAGAAAACAGTTTTGGCTTAATTCGTAGTTTTTGTTTTGTTTTGTTGAGACTGAGTCTTGCTCTGTCACCCAGGCTGACGTGCAGTGGTGCAATCTTGGCTCACTGCAGACTCCACCTCCCAGGTTAAAGCAATTCTCATGCCTCAGTCTCCTGAGTATCTGGGATTACAGGCATACATTACTACGCCCAGCTAATCTTTTTTTTTTTTTTTTTTTTT